TTGGTTGGGGGGCAGATGGGGACACGTGGCTCTGCTAACGGAGTGACAATGAAAGCAGGAGCCAGAAGGAGACACTTAGCCCCCTCCATCACCTCCAACCTGCTCCTTGCCTGGCATCTCCCCCACAATCCCCTGCTAGCCATTTACCCCAAAATTCTCCCACCCCTCCTAGCTGTCACCCTACAGATTGAGCCCCTCTCACCCCATCTCCCCACCAAACCCTCTGCCCCCCAGCAAAGGGGCTGCGCTGTGGCACTGATGGCACTTGGGGTCTGTCCAGTCCCCCGCAGTGGTGCTGGGAGCTGGTGACAAGGCTCTGGCAGGGAAGGTCTGTGTCCATCTGTCCGTCCATCACTCACCCCGATCAGCCCAGCAACAACTTCGATGGCTCCGGTGCCCACGGTGGTGTAGGGGATCTGGGATACAGGGATTCCGGCGTTCTCGAAGATGGCGTTGGTGTAAAACCAGATCTGCCGAGGAGGGGGCTTGGCATGAGCCGGAGGGAGCGAGCCCTGGGGTAAAATTGGTTGCCAGGCCCAAGCTCAGAGCCAAGTCCTGTGGGGACCTGGCAGGGCTTACGGCATCGATCCCCGAGAGCTGCATGCCAGCGTTCACCACCACCACCGAGAGGGTTTGCCAGCGGACGGAGGGGTCCCGCAGCAGCTGCCCGACGGACACCATCTCCACAGAGGAGAGTGACCGCTGCTCCTCCTTCATCTCCTCGATCACATCCTGCACACTGGGTGTCCCCAGGAACCGGCGCAGCGCTGTGGGGAGAGCGGGGGTCACAGGCACACCTCTCCCCGTCACAGGGTGGGCGCTCCTGGGTATGGCACAGGGTAGGGACTTGGCTCTGCCCCAACTCGGCCTCCCCAGGGGACCTCGCTGACCCATGGGGCTGAGCATCCATTGGAACCAAAGAGAGACCTCACCCCATGGCGATGGGCTCCGTGGAAATGCTGTGGCACAACTGGGAGGGACCGTAAGGACTGTGGTGGGCTGTCAGGTCTGGGCGTGGAAGGGTGCCACGAGGACACACCTTGGTCTCGTGAGATCTTGGACCAGGGCCCAGCATTGCCCAGACCCCATCCCCCCCAGGACACCCCCTCACCCTTGGTGGCCCCACCGATGTCGTTCTTCTCTATGAGCAGGTACCGCGGGCTCTCGGGGAAGCAGTGCAGCAGCAGGAGCTGGAGGGAGGCAGGAACAACCACCACCGATAGGAAAAGGGGCCAGAACCTGTCCTGCGAGGAGTGGAAGAGGGACATGTCACCGGGAGGGCATGGTAGGGTCTGGCGTGCGTGGGCTGGGGTCCGGTGCTCACCTTGCCCAGCAGCTCCGGGAGGCCCAGCACCTGCGCGAAGAAAACCCCCAGGCAGATGAAGATGCTGGGCACGAGGCCCAGGAATCCCCGCAGGTTCTTGGGGGCGATTTCTCCCAGGTAGAGGGGCACCACGCTGAGACAGATACCTGTGGGGGGACACAGGGGGGAGCAGATGGGAGAGGCAGAGGGGAGAAGAGCGCCCAGCCAGACCCTTAGTGCATCTCCTCCCCGCCCAGCACCATCCACAGCGGGGACCCCATGGCCAGGGAGGTGGCCCTCTCTGCCCCACGGAGACCCCCCATGGCAGACTCTGTGGCCAGGGGGAATATGGAGTCTTCTCCAGCCCCCTGGGAATGGACTGTAGGGGACCAAGACGTGAGGCAGCACAGCCCCACAGCCCGGGCAGCACCTACCTGAGTGGACCCCCGTGATGGAGCGGCCGACGATCACCATCTCGGGGGACCCCAGCTCCCGGCTGAAGCCCATGAAGCCGCCGGCCAGGAGGACGAGGAGAGCGCTGCGGCTCAGGGCGCCTTTCCTAGCAGGGCACAAGCGGCAGGGGGTTTTTTTTCTCCACCCCCAGCCCTCGACCACCCTGTCCCGTGCCACCCCCTTACCTGCCGTACCACTCCACCAGCACCCCCACCAGCAAGGAGCCCACCAGCCCGCCCAGGGCGAAGACGGAGACGGTCAGGGAGTAGAGGAGGGTCAGGGGGCCCGGGGCCAGCCCGGGCCCATACCGCCGAGCCCACGTGGCGTTGTAGAAAGCCTTTATGTGCTGCGGGGCAGAGAGAGACACACAGGCACCAGATGGGTTGGGAGAATGGGGAAGACAAGGGAAGACAGGCCCCGTAGGGAAAACGCCACGGGTTTATCAGCACTGCAGGAGACACAGGGCAGGATGGGGATGACTGGGATGATCTGGCTGCTCAGCCAGCCTCAGCACCAGAGGGGTTAAAGGACAACTCTGAGATGCCACAGGCAGAGCTGGAGCAAGGAGGTGGTGAGCACCTTTCCCCAGGCCCTGCCTTCCAGAGGGGACCAGCTGGGGGGTCTGCGTGTCCCTCCCGTGCCATCCCTCTCCCCGGACTGCTCTCCTGTGGGTCAGTGCCCAAGGGAAATGGTGTGAGGCTGCTGGGACCCTCCACCCTCCCAGGAG